CCGTTGCTCACTCAAAATCTTGTCAAGAGTGTTCTTACCCTTGAAGCATCTCTCCAAACTCTTGTTGAGCTTAGCCAGTTGCTCCTTAAGCTCATTGTTCTCAACAATAAGTGAGGCATCACAAATAGAAACACAAGAGCTAGAGCTAGAGCTAGGGCTAGGCATATCCATAAGATCATCACAAGAGGTAGAAATGCTAGATGATGCAACATGAGCAATATGGCAAGTAGCACTATCATCAAGCAAATCACAAGATATGCCAACATCAATGTGAGCTCCATGTTGAGTAGTGGAAAGGAGGTTGTCATGAGCTTCCTTAAGCTTCTCATGAGAAATGGTGAGTCTCTCATGAGAGGTCTTTAGCTCCTCATACAAGACCTCCAAAGAAGCATGATCCTTCTTTAGGGCCTTGAACTTGACAATCTCCTTCTCACTATAAGCATGGAGCTCCTCAAACATACTCACAAGCTCATCATAGGAAACATCATCACAATCATCATCACTCTCACTATCACTAAGAGATGTTACCTTAGAGGAGCCCTTTGCCATGAGACAAAGTGGAGCGAAGAGTGATGGAGCCTCCTTGATGGCAACAACGGCCATCTTCTTCTTCTTGGAGCTTGCATCATCACCACCTTCTTCCTTGGACCCGGATGAGGCGGAGCTCTCCTCATTTGAGTCCCATTCCCCGATGAAGGCCTCAATCTTCTTCCCTTCCTTCTTAAGCTTCTTCATGAGCTTGTAGCCTCCACTCTTCTTCTTGGATGACTTGTCTCCATCATCATCCTTGGAAGGGCACTTGGAAGCAAAGTGTCCCTTTTCACCACACTCAAAACACCTCAAGTTGGAGAGAGTCTTGTTGGGTCTTCTATTTCTTCTCCTATTGGAGTTGGAGCCCCTTCCTCTCTCCTTTCTCCTTCCCAAGAGATCATTGAACCTTCTAGCAAGAAGGACCATCTCTTCCTCCAAGTCCTCATTGACTTCATTCACCTTGCTCTTGCTCTTGTCTTCAACTTCGGCTTGGAGAGCAATGCACTTCTTGGAGGGTGAGGCTTCCTCCATCTCCTTCTTCTTCAACTTGTACATGTCATTGGTGTTGATCTTCCCCAAGAGGCTTGCGGGTGTCATTCTTGACATGTCGGAGTTGATGAGCATGGTGACAAGGGTCTCATACTTCTCCGGTAGGGCTCTAAGCATCTTTTGGGCAACCTCAAGATCGGTGTAGTTTGCCCCAAGCCGCTTGAGATCATTCACAATGACATTGAGCCTCCCATACATGTCATTCACACTCTCATGAGGCAACATGGAGAATGTCTCATATTGGATCTTGAGGAAATGAAGCTTGGCATCCTTGTACTCACTTGTACCCTCATGGATCTCCGCCAACTTGTTCCAAATCTCATATGCGGTCTCAAGGTTGCTCACTCTATCGAACTCCTCTTGGCTCAAAGAGTTGAACAAGGCATTCATGGCTTGGGCATTGAGTTGGAGGTTGTGGTGATCAATCTCCGTCAAGGGTGTGCCGGTGATGGCAAAGCCTACATCCACAATACTCCAAATATGGAAGCTCATAGCTTTGAGGTGAGTAGACATTTTAATTTTCCAAGTGGAGTAGTTTGTGCCATTAAACATGGGAGCCTTCCCTACATGGTTCACCTCGTTCGACATCTTCTCTTTAGGCGGTGAAGCCCAATCAAGAGAGACCAAGCTCTGATACCACTTGTAGGATCGAGATGTCGACTAGAGGGGGGGTGAATAGGCGATTTAAAACTAAATAACACCTAATCAAATCTAACCTAAGTTGCCGGTTTCCTACTCCCCGTTGAGGCGAGCCCAACTCCACCGCTCAACCACGAAGCCACCGCACGCCCCCTTCATCAAGGGGTGGGCAAGGCGGGAGCCGGCCCACGGAGAGGACTACCCAAGCCTCGATCACTCGGGGTAGTTCTTCCTTCACTCCGAAGGTGGTGAACTCCAAACCACTCACAAACCGGCGCCGGGCCTCCTCCACAATCTTCTCGGAGAGGTCACCGGGCAACTCCTCCACAAGCCGTCTAGGAGGCGGCAACTTCCAAGAGTAACACGCAATGACCCGGTGTGGAGATGATCAAGTGCCACACTAGCTCTACAATGGAAGCAAATGCACTTGACTCTTAGCTAAACAACCCTCTAACACACTAGATGGATGAACACAAAGCTCAAGTGAGTGTGAGAGAGGTACAAGGGGTGTATGCAATTGAATTGGGTGCCAAGAGAGCCCCCTTGCTACTGGTGGGGGAGTATTTATACTCCCACCCACCAAAACTAGCCGTTGGGGGCGAAATCCCCCAACTCTGTGCTCTGCCGGTCTGACCGGAGGTATGTGGCCGGTCAGACCGTGCTACTCTGCAACGGCTAGAAAACTAGCCGTTGTAGCCCTGTCAGAGGGCCCCATCGGTCTGGCCGGTCAGACCGACATGGGGTGGTCGGTCAGACCGGCCTCGGCTCGGTCAGACCGCCATTGGCTCGGTCTGACCGACTACGGCTCCGTCGGCTCTGTATCGGCCATCCCGAGCAGCATCATCTCGGCCTCCAGGAGGCCGGTCTGACCGGGAAAGTGCCGCCGGTCAGTCCGCCACTATGTAGCCGGTCTAACCGGCCAGGGCACGCCGGTCAGACCGCCACTATATGGCCGGTCTGACCGCCCCTGGTCAGGCCGAACCCAGTGAATTTGTGTAGTGAATTTTCACAAATGAAAATGCAATGACCTAATGTGGCAATTAAAATCATCTTTTTGCTAGGTCATTACCCCTCTTAATAGTACGGCGAAACTAAAATTAAACTAGCAAATTTGATCGCCCTACACCTCGATCAATTCTAAATTAAAACGCTAGTTTTACCGTCTTCTTTCCCTTTGCTTTGCGCCGTCAATTTTAATCCATTGATAATCATCCATGCGCACATATGACGTGGACCTAACTTAAAATGTATAGCTCAAAGACAACGGTTAGTCCACAATTAGTGCTTGTCATTAATTACCAAAATTAACACCGGGGGCCTAGATGCTTCAAATGATATTTTTTTCGAAACTAGTAAAATTACAATGGATCCAATTAACCCTTAAAATAAATAAATTTGGCCAAAGGTAATGTTGCATTTGGGTTTCGGAGAAGAAAAGGTTGTCCCAGCCTGGTCAGCGTTGGCAGAATTCCTAATTGGCGTGCGCGTGCCAGTCCGTATCTGGCGCGCGCGGCCCCCACCATGTCGCATCCCCTCATTTTTTTTTCTTTTTTTTCCTTTTTCCCACGTGTTTTTCCCCTTTTTGTGTGTTTTTTCCTTTTTTTTTCCTTTTTTGCAAGTTTTAAATCATGACTTGAAAATTTTTGAATCTTAACTTTTTTTTTTCAAATTTGGATATGAAGATTTTCAAATCTCAACTTGAAAGTTTTCAAAATTTTTAAATCTGGACTTGAAAGTTTTCGAATCTCGAGTTGAAAGTTTTCGAATCTGAGTTGAAAGTTTTCAGAATTTTCAAATATGGACTTGAAATTTTTCGAATCTCGAGTTGAAAGTTTTCGAATCTGAGTTGAAAGTTTTTAAATCTCGAGTTGAAAGTTTTCAAATCTGAGTTGAATGTTTTCAAATTTTGACTTTAAAATTTGAACCTTAAATCAAAAGTTTTTAAATCTAACTTAAAAAAATTTTCAATCTGTTAGTAAAAAAGAAATCTTTAAAATATTTTCTAATTACTGTCATTAGTGTTAAATGTTAAATAGTACTAGAAACTGCCCTTATCATTTTCGTACGGAAACGGACGGAAATCATCTTTGTCATTTTCGTTTTAATTTTTTTTCAGAATCGAAATCGGAATCGGAAACCCCGGATACGAAAATGGAATCGAATATTATCGAAACTGAAAACGGAGCGAAAACGAGCCGGCGCGAATACGGTAACGAAAATTTATCGGAATAAAAAAACCCCTCAAACTGATAAACCCAATTCTCAAGTCTTAACGGTCAACAATTCATCATAAAACACAATCATATAAGTCTAATTGTTAAGTATCAACGGTACGTCACAAAACATAATCTACGGAATAAATTAGTAATGCTGTTGATAAATCCCAATGCAGGAAAAAAATATTCTTATGTAATATTAGATTTGCATAACAAATATTTTTTTTAAAAAAATAGCAACCAAACACTATGGTATTAACTATTCAGTGCTTTAAAAAATAGAATACATGGTATTTTGTGATTTCTGGAAATTCCGAGAAAATTTCCGAAAAGTTTCTGACCGATTCGAGTTCCGACGGAAACTGCCCTTATCATTTTCGATTTTCGATTTCGTTTCCAAGAAAATATTTCTAAATCCGTTTTCGTTTCCAAAAAATTCTGACCGACAGATTCTGTTTTTGAAAATAGGTACGGAATCCGAAAGTTGTCACCCCGTGTTGGAGCAACTGGACCGGAGAAGAGGTCGATTCGGTCAGTTTGGAGTTTGGACTAGACCCAGACAGCGACGCGGTTAAGCGCACACGTCCAACGTGCACGAGCCACGAGGCCGGCAAATCCCCAAGACCACAATCCCGTCGGATCAATTCCAACCCGGACTCAGCTTGGGTGACATTGCCTAGCTAAGTCACAACGTGACATTGCCAAAATCTGGACCATGTGAAACTGATCGGACGGATATGCTGCTTGAGCCTGCCTGTAGGTAAAAAAAAATAATTCCCAACCCATCATCCTGGCGGGAGACGGCGTCCCCAATTCCATCCCGCGCGCCACCGCGCGAGGCGTCTAGCTCGCCTGGCGCCTCCTCACTCGTGGTGGCGCGGGGAGGCAGCGATGCGAGCACGCGGGATTGATGCGTCATCTGGCGCAGTGGCGGGCAAACGAGGGCCAGGCGAGCTAGACGCCTCGCGCGGTGGCGCGCGGGATGGAATTGGGGACGCCGTCTCCCGCCAGGATGATGGGTTGGGAATTATTTTTTTTTACCTACAGGCAGGCTCAAGCAGCATATCCGTCCGATCAGTTTCGCATGGTCCAGATTTTGGCAATGTCACGTTATGACTTAGCTAGGCAATGTCACCCAAGCTGAGTCCTTCCAAGTTCCAACTCTAGCCCTCCTCGGCGCCCATCGCCATCGCCATCGCCATCGCCCACCAAATTATTCCCATTCCCTCCATCGCCAGTTCGCCGCCGCTCCGATGGATCCACCCCAGCGGATCTTCGGCGCCGCCTCCTCACCGCCGATCGGTATCCCGCCCACCTCCATCGCCGCTCCGGTGGATCCACCCCATCCGATCTTCGGCGCCGCCTCCTCGTCGCCGATCGCCCACCGCAGTCTCCTTCCCACCCCCTCCGTCGCCACCGCCGTCGCCGTTCAGGTGGATCCACCCCCACCCCATTCGGAGAGTGAGCTTGTTCAAGCGCTATCTGACAAGTATAGATTGCCCGTGAGATTTTTACTGAGTTCCATTCCTCCAACTTATTTGTCTGCTTGGGAGTTATCTGATGGCAAAGCACAGGGGCTGGTTTGGTCTCATAGTGATGCACTTGATATAACACATCATTATCAATCTCTAGGCTTACATGAGATTAGATTTCTCTACTCTGAGTTCATTTCTCTGAGATGTGTCCAGGACATGGAGTATATGATTGCTCGTACTCCATTCTCTATGCGGGTACTTAACCCTGATGTGGCTAAAGAGAAAAGCCGAATGCTGTCCAAGCTGAACGGCTACTGCTGTAGCCTTCGGGAAGCCCTTCGGCAGGTCCAGGCTGGGGGGAATCTGGTGGAGATGTTTAACCTGAGATCCAAATTTGCTCAGGAACATGAGCTCTGCACATGCAGGACAGAGCTGCTGCGGCAGATGAAGGTGGACGCTCTTAACAGAGTCTTGGTGCTTGGATTGGGTGAAGGGGCATCATCTGCTCACTCCGCTGACATGATTTGGATCCTTAAACACCACAGACCAGATGAGTATGCTGTGGCAGTTAATGATGATGGGACCGTCTCATGGCCCATTATTCATGGCCTCGTGCAGAACATCAGGAACATGATGGGCAACAAGCTTACGTCGAACGATACCTTGGCTAACTCCCGCACTTCCTTGCTTGGTGTGATCGGCCGCTTCCAATTTGAGCATAAAGTCCAGGAAGTCCTTGAGAAGACACGCAGCCATTCAACAGTTCATGACAGATCCTACTTCAAGATCCCAGGTTGTCATGGATATCAGGTCTCAGCTTGAGGTCCTAACACGTCTAATGAACAAGAAGTCGCTAATAGGGAGCTACCCAATTAACATGCCTGGTGACACCACTGGAGAAGGGGTCTTGGACATTACGGTAATCCATGAGAAGAAAGAAGGTGATATAAAGGCTTCCTTTCTGATTCTAGATTTTTGGATTTTCATTTGCATGCTTCCTAAGCTCCTAAATAGTGTGTTTTGCACTGGAATTTTCTATATAAAATTTTGTCGGAAGACTTTCCTAGAACAACTTTTGAAGTTTGTACAAGTCAATTCATTTGTTTGTACAGCTATCACAAAAAATCAGATGATCCATCAATGGTACCTGAAAAGAGCCTTTGATATCCAGTTTTGTTCTAACGCTGCTCCTCTATGCTGTCCCAGCTGCTGCCCCATCTTCTGCCCCAGCTGCCGTCCCATGTACTGCCCCACCTGCTGCTCCAGCTGCTGCCTCAACTGCTGCTCCAGCTGCTGCCTCAACTGCTGCTCCAGCTGCTGCCTCTACTGCTGCTCCAGCTGCTGCCTCTACTGCTGCTCCAGCTGCTGCCTCAACTGCTGTACCAGATGATGCTACCCCAGCTGAAGCATCTGATGCTTCTTCAGATGATGGTATGTATAGACAGACAATTGGTCCGATTTCGGATATTGTCAAGTGTTAGTCCATGAAATGAAATAGGTCATTCTATGCAGCTGGTGAGGAAGTGGCGATCATGAAATTTATGGAGATGGAAGGGGAACCTGAAGAACAGAGGGCAAAGCGCTTCCAAAGATACTGTGCATCCCTTGACTTCTGTTTATAGAGTCGTAAACACTAAGGTATTTATTTCTTTTTGTTTGGTACTCCTTTTTCAAGTACCAATGGTGCATTTGAAAGAAAAAACACTAATGAGAAAACTATAGTTCATCAATATTACGTACTCTTCTTTTTGACAACCTGTTGATTTACCTGGCATGTAATTTTGCACAGGTTGAGGCACTGGATTGAGATTGAGGTGACCAGACACGGGTGTGGGGGAGGGGTTGCGATTTCAATTATAATCTGTTGTTTCCAACTCGGAGTGATACTCTTTATGTTTTGTCAGGGAACTTGGGGGTGTGATTCAGGCCTAATCTTGCTTCCATTTAGAAGTGGTACTCTTTTATCACGGGTCTGATTATGTAAATGAGATGTGAAGCATGCAATTAAAATACATGTTTGCCTTTTGAAGTCTGATTGAGGTACTGAAATATCAGTTTGACATGCGTAATCTTTACCTCGTCGTGAATTGCCTGGTGAATGGTTGCGCAGTGTTTTGTAAGTCTCTGAATTGATGATCAAGATAACAAGGTATCTCAATTCTTAGTGAACTCCCTTCAGGATCTCAGAACTTGATAAGCAGGCTAACCACTGGTTCAGCCAGTCTAAACCGTGTAACCAGCCCAAACTGACCCGTTAGCCCTAGGGTTAATTGGATACATGCCCATGCCATTATAAATTTGACAGTTTTGAAATATGTCACTATAATTTACATATTTGGATCAATACCATTACAATTTACATGTAATTTAAAATATGCCACTGGTCTACATATTTTTACATGTATTGGCCATGAATGCGTCTTCCTTCACCCTCCCCTCTCTCTCTCTCATTTCTGTTCGAGTTCTTCATCATGCTTTCTACATGCATGTTCAGACTAATCACCATGTTATAATCTGAGATAAGACACGATTACTTTCCTTTTGGACTACCAATGGACTAGAGCGTGCCACAAAATATTCAGAGCCTCTGCAAGTTTGCAACATCTCCGTGCACTCGCCACCACCACCGCACCTGTTTAGATGGGACTAAAACTTTTAAGTCCCTATCACATCGGATGTTTGGACACTAATTATAAATATTAAACGTAGACTATTAATAAAACCCATCCATAATCTTGAACTAATTCGTGAGACGAATCTATTGAGCCTAATTAATTCATTATTAGCCTATGTGATACTACAGTAAACATTCTCTAATTATGGATTAATTATGTTTAAAAAATTTGTCTTGCAAATTAGCTTTCATTTATGTAATTAGTTTCGTAAGTAATCTATATTTAATACTCTAAATTAGTGTCTAAATACAGAGACTAAAATTAAGTCCCTGGATCCAAACACCATCTAAGCTCGTGATGCGTGAGTTTTGGCATATGATGTGTTAATCTTTCAATTTCTTGGGAAGGGGTATTCTTGTCCTGATTTTCATAGAAGTCAATCTTGTAACAGTGTTCATCTAAACTGTCAGTCCCATGGCAATATATTGGATTCCAACCATTTTTTATGGTAAATATCCAATTACACTTTTTATAGTGGCAGATCCATAATACCGGTTCAAACTTGTGTTAAATATGCAATTATTTAATATTTTCTCACCTTAACATAATAAGAGAAGATGATGCTTTTTTTTTCTAATTTTGTTTTTTTATGTGATTGACATTGTAGATCAATACACAGAAGTCGGTTGAACCCCTTTTAAACCTATACGACAAAAAGTATATCTTGAGAGGTTAGAGAGCTAGATGACACTCGCAGTCTAAGAATCAATTGTGTACTTCACTCGTAAATAAAACTGACATATGAAAGTTGTCACAAAATTAAGAAACAAGTCCAAGCCTTTTATTGTCAAACAATAAAATAAAAAACAATTTACTCATGGAAACAAAACAGAAACCCCTGTGTCAGCAATTTCAGTACTGAATCTGAACAAACACTTATCTAGGTGGTAATAAGTCGTATATGCACAGGACTACCAACACCACCTAGGGAGGTTTTACAACAGAGATTGCTTTACCAAACCGTTGTGAGGTACGGTTCGCCCATTGACATATCTCGTCCTCAGGTATGCCTAAATTCATCAAATCAGGGCTATACGGTACTCTCGTCATTGGATCAATGGTCACATGCTCAAGCTCATCACCCATTTCAAGAATGGCAAACAGCAGCTCGACCTGAGCCCGGTAGCACCTGAACCCACTCATGTAGACCATCTTGAGGTGATGATGGGGCATATGTCCGTAGGAGACTCCCGCACCCTCATGCCAGCAGCGGCAGTGAGTCGAATGATACAACATCTGTTTTTCGAAACAAAAATATATGTAACTACTAACTATTGCAATCTATACATAGCCAACAAAGAAAGAAGCATAAGCAAAAACAAGAAAGGCAGGAGAGCACTCACATGCAATTCTAGAGTCTCCAGCTGCGGTGCAAAAGCTAAATACTGAGCCAGCTGAAGAACTCCACTGTGGCTGTTTGGATCTTTAGTAAAAATAAGTATCTCATAAGTCAGATGCTTCAAATTCATAAACATGATTGTTGGTCTTGCTGTCAACGTATGCACCTGAAACATTACCAGAACAAATCAGGAAGCGCATCTCCATTTGAACAGCTAAGTGAGCAAAGATAATTATTAGGATGTACCTGTGAGGACCAGACCGATTGCTTTGTGCAAATATCAACAAGTAAATTGAGCACCTCAACTGCCGAAACACTGGGAATTCCATGGAATACATGGCCCAATACTTTATTATTATCTTCTTCAAGCCATGTCTGGTGAAAATTCAGGGTTGCCTTCTGTAATTTTGAGCAACCATGAAGCATTATAGGAATCATAGTACCTTTGTATTCAAAATGAGAAAGACCAGGAACATGAAACTCCAGCATCTGGATACGCATATTACAAATTAGCAAATGCCTAAGTTTATTGAGTTGGTGTGGAATATTCAGAGCAGTCACACCCAAGCACGCAAAGACCTCCAAGTCCTCAAGACTGGAGCAATTAAATAGCAAGCCTGAAAGATCTCCAATTATTTGAACACAGTGCAAATGAAGGCTCCTGAGTTTCGTAAAGCCAATATCCGAGTGTGGCTTTATAGAAACATTGTTGAGAAACAAGCACTGGATAAAAGGGATATCTTGATCACCGAAAGCCTCAAGAGGGAAGTCATACAAATGTTTGGTTGGTCCTTTATTATTTCTATTTGTGCACAGGTTCATATCTATAATCTTAGCCTTTGATGCAGTGGCAAAGCGAATCCACCTATCAAGAATGTCTGAGTCGTCCTTCAGAAGGTTGCACCTGATACTGAATTTATTGAGCCCTATTCCACTGTGTTGCTGAATAATAGAATTTACTGTATCAATGAACTTCATTCTTTCTATTTTCACACTATCCATATCAGCAGGCCCGTCCTTGCTGCCATCAAAGCATAGATTAGGATACCGTGTCCAAAGTTTTCTCCAGTTTCTCGACACGATGCTTGTACTAGCAGCCTCTTTCAGTGACAGCAGAGATAATAGAAGAGATTGAATTTCCTGCAACAAGAGGATGATGAGGGTTGAGTTTTGATCAAAGAAACAGACAGGCGTGATAATCATTAAGTACTCAATAGGTTGAGTCAGGACACAATGAGAAAAGTACTTCAATGGGTTTTTCCTCTTCTTTTCCCAGTCACCTAGCACATTCAAATCCGATGACGAAATAGATAAGAGATAGTACAGAAGAACCAAAAATACTAAAAATAATGCATCTACTAACACCAAATTTAGCTAGGATGGAACACTGAATACAATGAAGAAAATCAAAACAATGAGGTGATTCTATTTCTAGAAAGTTGGAAATCAAATGCATGACAGAACCTGACCCAGGGATCTAAAACACAATTAGGAGGAAACTCACGCTATGGGCAACTAAATGGAGAGAAAAAGCTAAAAAGAGGTTGAAGGAGTAACAAACATTGAATGCATAATGTTTTGTGAAAAGGGCAAACAATTGGGTGATTATATTTCTAGATCGAAGGTCCTGAGGAAGCAACTCAGGCAAGCAAAGAAAAGATACAGAGCAAAATTCATTCTCCAAAGCAACTCATGTATTGCACTATTGGCTGGACACCTTTTATATTTATAAACATAGCTAGTCAAAGTTTTTTTAAAAAAAAGACTTGAGCCTAGATTAAGTTCATATTTGTGATTGGAGTAAGTACTACTTGATCTATTTGTTGATCTTATGCCCTAGCTGCTAATAACCTAGTTATGGGTGGACGAAAAAGCTCATGGCTCGTTAGCTTGCTCGGCTCGACTTGGCTCGTTGCATTTTCATAACGTGCCAAGCTGGCATTTTAACTCGTTAAAGATAATGAGCCAGCTCGAGCTAGCTCGCGAGCCAAACGAGCTGGAGGCGTGGAGCATACAGGTTACATCCAACCCATCAAACCATGGCCCACCACCAACAGTAGCCCATCAATCCACTAGGGACCAGCCCACCACACCACATATACCACGTGATAGCCCAGACCAAAGCCATCACACCACACCAAACCATATCCTCACAGGCAAAGGCAACCACAGCCGCTTGTCCCCAGCACCCGGTGCCACCACTCGGCCCAGCATCACCCATATGACAACCCCAAGCGTCCGACATCGCCACTCGCCACCTGCCCACACTGCCACTCGACCAAGTGCCACTACCAGATGCTGCAAGCGCCCACTCCCAATGCCGCCTCAAGCCTGCACCGCCACCCGACCCTAGCGCCTCTACCCACCAGTGAGCAGCAACGCCTCCCCGTGTTCTAAGTGCCTATGAGCTCGAGCTTGTCTCCTCAACTAGCGAGCTCAAGCTCATCTCCTTCAAGCTCCTCCCCCGTGGTCCAAGTGCCGCCGAACTCGAGCTCATCTCCTCCATGCTCCTCCCCCGTGGTCCAAGTATCGATGAACTCGAGATCATCTCCTACCTTGAGTGCCTTTATCTCTTGCCCATGGCTCACGAGCTAAACAAGCTGGCTCGAGCTTGCCTACGAGACGAGATGAACCAAGCCGAGCCAACTTGACATCCACCCCTAAACCACATATGGCTATAAAAGGATAGTGTGCATCAATTAGTGCACAAGCAATGAAGGATAAGTCCCATTCCCAGTCCATCAATCGTCGCCCCACCCTACGTCTCCTTCCATTTTAAGCAGCTGACACAGACCGCTATCCTCTTGGCGGTTCTTACCCCTTGATGAATTGTGGTCCATCGCAGTAGGTTTATAACTGATGCATCCTAAATAATATTTGAAATCAGGTTTGCAAGGTTCTATCTAGAACAATGTGGTGTGCATAAATGTTGGCTTCTGATAGTAAAGTCATTCTAAAATATAGGAGAACAAAAGATAACAACCTTGTTAAGGAATTCGCAGCATCCCAATAGGTAAAATGATGAGGATTTGAAGCCAAGCACATTTTAACTGCTCCCTCTGTTTCATATTATAAGACTTTCTAGCATTGCCCACATTCATATATGTTAATATGGGCAATGCTAGAAAGTCTTATAATATGAAACGGAGGGAGTATATGTTATGCCACATACAACATTAAGGAGTGCTAGATATTTAAGGCATGCAAAGCAGAGAATGCTAGATGATTATTTACTTACAATTTATGACCCGCCTCTAATTTTGAGTGTAGAAAACAATATAAGAAATTAAGATTACATATGGCAAAATAGGAAGAGTAGGGTCAGGAATTTCAATAAAAGAATTGAAGGGCATGGGTGCAAATGCTGATGTCAAGCGCAAAGCCATGCAGAGATAGCTAATGTTTAGGCCATCTTTGTTTTGGCTTAGGATTTTAAGCTGATTCTTTTTGGCTTACAGCTGGTGGCTTTTAAGCCTCAAGTTCAATGGTGGAGTCCTACCTCCACTTCAAATAAGCCAAAAAAGAACTACTCGTACTTAGCTTTTAACTTAACAATGTAAGGGTGGCTTACGGCTTTTAAAATCCCAACGAAAAAACTCATCATTTGTTTAGGCTTAGCCTTTTTGGCTTATAAGCCCTTAGTAGAAAAAGACCAGGAGAAAATTGGGGATTTTGATAAAATTATGCAGGGAAGAAAGAAAAGGTGAGGAGATAAAACTACATGATATTTTATTGAGGAAAAAATCCAGCATCTTGCTTGGAAGGTCCTAGTGAATGATCCATCTTTTTCAAACTTGAAAATCCCTGTACTGTGTGCACAAATTGCAACAGAAGAGTCTCCAAAGGAGCGGGTTACAGATGGAGGCATTTAAAAGTACTACTGATGTGCGTGTAAGTGGGATTGTTACCTCCATGGTGGAACTGAATTTATACTCCATCCCTCATACATAGCCACAGATAAGAGAGGAGAAAAGTAAAGCAAAAAATCAAATATAAGATCAAAACACGCTTGATCATTCTGTGTGCAGGTTCAAAAAGTAAGGGGTTGACAAAGAAAGCATCAAAGAATAATCATTTTACTCCTAAAGATGAAATCATGATTCCCCAACCCAACCAAATTGGGAGGTGAGGACAGGTGAGGAAAAAAAAAGAATATTACCTCAGGGAGATCCTCCACACGGAAGGAGTTGTCACTGAGCGTGCGGTGTTGCTCCAGCCTGCTCCGCTTGGCCACCGCCACGTTCTCCATAAGTTGCGGCTGCTGCTGCAAGAAGGCATGTGACAAAACAAAACAAATCATGAGTAGTCCATACACAGCTGCAGCAGGAAGACACATTATATAACCAATCCTTGCACCAATATTGAACTCCAAACCTCGATGGGATACTATATTCTTGTGTAATTCGTTCAATTGGAACCATTTACCTCTGTAATAGGGATCAAGTAATCTCTACTTAAAAATTTGGACTGGTTCTGTCCACAAAAACTTTAGGCAGTATATTTCTGAGAGTATATAAAGCATTATTTTACTCCCCAAAAAATGTCGTATTACCCCTGCAAATACTTCTGAAATAAACAAGGAACAATATTTCCCCCAATAATCCCCAGAAAACAGAAATCCACCTGCCCCAGAACAAAACAGGAAAACTAAGAGGCCTCAGCAGAAGGCTAGAACAGCCCCTAAAATCCAAGATTTTCCCCTCAGCAAAAGGAACGGAGAATCAATCCCTCGCCAGAAATCAATCATTCAGTGAGTGGGAGTGAGAAGGCAGCTGCAGGCCAACAACAGCCCAGTGCTGTCCGGCTCCCAACCAAACCAAATTAGGAGGTGACGAAAGATCAAGGAAAAGTAGTTTTTTTTTTTTTTTTTTACCTCCGGGAGGTCTTCCATGTGAAAGGAGGAGTCGTCGCTGAGCACACGATGGTGCTCCATCCAGCTCCGCTTGGCCGCCATCGTGTTCTCCATAAGCTGCTGCTACAAAGGAGGCCACAACCACAAAACAGAACATCACGGATCTAGTCTATACAGAAGACAGATATAATAGTAATTATCATATGTACCAACACCGACTTTGACACAGGACTCCGAACCTTGACTGGATAAATATTGTTATTACGCAGAAGTAGTTTGTGTATTTGGAATCCTTTCCGTTTTGTAATAGGGATTACATAATCTTCTGTCTTGCACAAGTAAAAAAAAAGAACTGGACAGATCCTGTCTTTGTCCCTCGCGAGGTATTCAGCAGATTTACCAAGGAAGCCCAAACCTAGCATGAACACCAAAAACACTTACAAGTGGAGCTGGGACCCTGCAAATACTTGTGAAATTAAACATGGAACCGCGCATCTGCCTGAAGTGCCCCCAAAATCCAAGCTTTTTCCCCACAGCAAAACGCATGGATATATTTAATCCCTCACCATGAATCAAAATCAACAATCATTGACTGAGTTGGAGCTTTACTTGTCTCCGTAGGCGACTGTCACGCCCGGAATTTCTATCCAAAATTCCAAACACTTACATGTGTGTGAACCCTTGTCCAGAAATCAGCCGAGGCACACAATAACAAATTGGTAATAGAGTACAATTATTACTCTAATTAATAAGCGAATAAAATGTCATTACAGAGGTAGATAGTTCCTCTCAATCAATAAAAATCTAAGCAGCGGAAAAAATAAGATAAACGGCACAGACGACTCCACTCCACAGGCAGCTTGACCAGGGCTACACCTAATCCTCCACACCATCAGCATCACTGTAGAACTCCTCCTCTGATGAATGATTGCAAGGTGAGTATATGACATACTCAGCAAGCCACGCAGCAAATATGCAAGTGCACAGGATAACAAAGGATGGCATAGTAGGGTTTCATTTGCATAAACAACATTTAATAAACATTTCAGAATTTAATAAAACAGTTAAGTAATAAATAAACAATATTAATCCAACGCTATACAACATACCCTGTTGCATAGGCCCAACCATTTTGAACAACCATCCCGGCTGCACAGTTCTATCTCCAAACCAGGAATATACCATTCCAAACCAGGAGCTAATCAAATTATTACCAGTTATAGCATCTTTTATTATGATGAGAAGTGTGAGACTAATCACGAAAGACATTGTTAGACCCGCCCTTAACCGCGGGCACGGCTATTCGAATAGTTTTACTCTGGCCAGAGGTGTACCACTGTACCCACAAGACACAGCCCCACAACATGTCACCATGTGCCTCAATACCACCATGGTACCTCGGAAAGGAGCTGTGACAGTACCCCTCGCACAACACAATCCACCACAGCGCACCTTTCCTGGATCATAATCACCCCCTTATAAACAAGGCATGGACTCCCCAGCGACCCCCGTGGGCTTATCTCCGCCACTTCTCAGTCTGGTGCTCCGCAATGAACCATGCTATACAAAAGGTAAAGCCGTTGCCCACGCTGGCTTGTGGTTGGCACGGTTAATGTTTCACAACCGAAACTCGTGAACCGGTCCTTAATTGTCATGAGCACGACTCTCAAAACCATGTGCTCACAACCCACCATTATCAAGTTTTAGTTGGCAAGTAATTAATTAACCAATCACGATTGACCATCGTGAACTATCATTAAGCCATCATTAAATAATAGTGAGTCATAAGTTATCCCAATAGTGTGTTAATGTTTCTAAGCATGGCTAAGCAATCATATCTAATATCTAGCTGAACCAATATATAAAGCTCAACTAGTCAAGTTATAATAACCCAAGGTATCAAGGAATAAAGTAATCAATGCAAACATGCCATAACAAAGGAATAGATTCACACCACCCAGTGACATTCGAAAATAAATGCACAGTTGAAATAAATAGAGAATTTAAATATAGGATCAACATGCTCAAAGGATTGTGTTTAGGATCTGTGTGACTTGCCTTGCTGGCCTTGGAACTACTCAAATTCTTCTCCTGCGAAAACGGACTCTCCTGAAACGTCGGAATCTAAACAGAAAAGAGCAAAAACACCAAAACAGCACATAAATAAGCATGAAAAGTACATGTGGATATTTTTAACATGTAGATCTCAATTTTAGAAAAATTTAGAGACTTGAACCAACTAAATCCGAGCTAAGATGAATTAGTTATGAATTTTCAAAGATTAAATCGGATTAAATCAATTATATGGGTTTTAATTGAATTATGACGCAATAATGAATTTTTTTTGAAAAGGAAAAAGGGGTTTATTGCGTCAGCGGCTAGGGTTTGCAGTGGACCGGGTGCACGGTGGCGGCTCACAGAAACGAACGGCCGAGATCTTTCCATCCAAAACGGACAGCCGAGATCGACCGGTCCACGGCCGGACCACGAGAGACGACGACGATAACGTCAGCGGTGACGTCACCACCGGCGGCGGCTCGGGCGCGCAAGCTCGTCGGCGAACGACGGCGCGACGGCACAAACGGAGGGCACCAGCACGTAGAGAGCGACGCGGCGAACTCACCGGTGACCAAAACGGCGGCGGAAGATCAACGGACGGAGACGGCGTCGAGGAAAAGGCGGCGGAGAAGATCGGCTTGACGACGACGGCGGTGCTCTGGCGGTCTACAGCAACGATGGAGGGGCGGACGAGGACGGCGACGCGACGGCGACCACGACGGCGGCCTTCCCGAACGACGGCGACGACTGGAGCAACGGCGACGCACGGCTGGAGCGGCGGCGACGACGGCGGCGCGAGGCTACACGGTGCTAGGGCTCTACCGGCGACGAGAGGCGAAAGCGAGGGTGGCAGCGGGTAGCGGCGGGCTTGGGGGTCCTTTTATAGGGGCAAGGAGGCGGCGGCGAAGGCCCACGGCGACCGGCAACGCGAAGGAAAGTCTAGGGTTCGGAGGAGAGAGATCGATCCGAATCGAACTCGAATCCACGGATTTCCAAACGATTTTAGCCCATGATTCCAAAAGAGAAAAGGTAGAGGAGATCCTGAAGATCATTTCCCCTCTATAGATTTCACCGGAGAAGGAAAGGCGCGAGCGAATTTGGAAGGAGACGGCGGCGCAGCTCGGCTAGGGTTCCGGCCGGGCGACGGCGCGAGGAGGACGACGACAGGCCTGACAGGTGGGACCCACCTGTCAGTGGCCGAGCGCGCGCGCGGGCGGCTGCGGGCTGACTGGGCCGAAGAGGAGAGAGAGGGAAGGTTTTGGGCCGATTTTCGGCCCAAAGCCAAAAGAGGACTTTTAGAACCTTTTCCAATTAAAATAATCACTTAAATGATCTTTGAATTGTTAAAAATACTTCCAATGCTCAAATAATTTCAAGAAAAATCCTGAAAATACTTGGACACTCAAAGTACTTAACAAAATTATAATTAGACCATTTAATGATTAATTTAATATGTGGGTAATTACTGAAATGCTCTTTGTATGATTAAAAATTAGGAATTGAGCTCCGAAAAATCCGAGAATATTCAAGAGAGTATAATTAACCATGGAGAATTTAATAAAAAATAAATCCATCCATGCTTTATATTTAGGAAGTTTTATTTCCCACCTTTAACTTCACTTGTAAATTAATGAACATTTAATATAAATTCAAATAATAATTTATTAAATAATTTATAAATCCTGAAACAAAAATCAGGATGTGACCGCGACGAGGCTCCGATAGAGAGACCGGAGCAGTGAGAACTTCGCCGAGCGAGCTCCTTGCCCAGAGATACCCCAGCGATCAGGGAGGGGCGGTGGCATCCGGAGTGATGGTGGTGGTTTGAAGCGGCGGCGGGCGTTGAGGATCGGAGGACAAGGCGCTGCTTCTTTCTAGTAGAGGAGGAAGACGAAGGTGCAATTTGGAGAGGAGGAAGGAGAAGGCTCGTCTAGGAAGGAGGTGGAGGAGGCCTCAGCCGCCGCCGCCGCCGCCGCCAAGGCACGACGAGTTCACGACTTCACGTCTGCTCCTTATCCTTGCAAGGCTAGGCTAGGGTTTTGTTAGAACCCTAACTCACAGCAAGCACCAATCAAGATCACACACGAAATTATCTGGAACTTTAGTAACTCTCTCGATCCAACAGGATCGGAGCCTCCGCCGCCATCGCCTCCAAGTTCCAGTTCGATGCCGTTCGAACACGCAACAGTGTCTCATATACCGTTTTCTCTCTCTCCTCACCAACCCCTCTCAGCTGGGCAAGCCCATTACAACTCACGCATTACACGGCCCATTCAGAGCCCACATACTTTCTATTAGCAATACGAACACGCTTTCCTTGTGAGCCAACGCCTTCCTTCAGTGCGCCTCCATCCTGTACACCTTCCAGCTCGTTGTCGATGTTCCCTAGCTCCTGCTTGCCGATGTCCAGCCTCTCCTGAGTCAGGTTATCATCAGTAGACCTGACAATCTCCCTTCCTTGAAAACCGGCTCGCCCCCAAGCCGGTGCACGAGGAAAACGAGTCTGCAAGTCCTCCTCATCTTCCCAAGTGGCATCCTCAATCGCACCACCTGTCCACTTGGTCAATAGCTGAGAAATAACAGTGTTACCTTTCTTGGCAATACAGTGATCCAGGAACTATTCAGGAACTTGCAACTTGTCCAAAGGAGATGGCAAAGCTTGCTGAACTGGCGGGCTGAATCCAGTAGCAGCTCGGAGCTGCGATACATGCACCACTGGATGGATCAAACAATCAGGAGGCAAATCCAATTTATAAGCCACACTACCCACTTTTTGCAAAATTTGAAAGGGACCATAATATCTGAACGAGAGCTTGTGATTAGCACGTTTGGCAACAGAGGATTTCACATAAGGCTGCACTTTGAGATAAACCCAGTCTTGTAACTGAAACTCCCTAAAACTGCGGTTTTTGTCAGCATAGAATTTCATCTGTTGCTGAGCACGATGCAGATGTTGTTGAATCAAATGGTGCATGAATTTTCTGTCAGAGAGCCATTCAGCTAGATCCGGAACTACACAATCTTCCATACTTATACCAAAATGACTAGGTTGATAACCATAGACCACTTCAAAGGGTGTTTTGTGCACAGTCGACTGATAAGACGAATAGTACCAAAACTCTGCCAAGTACAGCCATGCAGCCCATTTGCGAGGAGTGGCATGAATAAAACAACGTAAGAAAATTTCCAAGCATTGATTAACCCTTTCGGTTTGTCCATCAGATTGCGGGTGATATGAAGAACTCATATGTAACTTGATACCCGCCATAGTGAATAAACACTCCCAGAACTGACTAGTGAAAATTCTGTCACGATCAGAGATGATTACCTTTGGCATGCCATGTAAACGATATACATTTCTCATGAAAGCTTATGCTACTGTTGCCGTAGTGAAAGGGTGTGCTAAAGGAATGAAATGAGCAAACTTAGAAAATTTGTCAACCACCACAAGAATGCAATTGAATCTCTCTGACTTTGGTAAACCTTTAATAAAATCAAGAGATAACACCTGCCAAGCCCCTTCAGGCACTGGTAACGGCTGCAACAGCCCTGGATACTTCAGTCTCTCTGGCTTAGCCTGCAGACATACTTGGCATTGTTTAAGTTGATGTTGCACTTGTTTCTTCATTCCTTTCCAAGCGAACAAACGTTTCAATTTTCTGTAAGTTACAGGAAACCCAGAATGGCCACCTATGGGATTATCATGCATTTCAGAGATCAGTTTGTGCTGTAAGACAGGGTTGTCTCCTACCCACACCCTTCCCTTGTACCTTATTAGACCATTCTGAAGAAAGTAGTTTTCTCTGGCTTGGGGGTGAAGAGACAATTCAGTGACTAACTGAGAGGCATGTGCATCTTTATCATAGCCTTCTGTTACTTCCTGCAACCATAGTGGCACCCCAACTGATATAGCCATCACCTGATCCTCCAATAAGTTTTCCTTTCTAGACAGTGCATCTGCAGCTGAATTAGTGCTACCCTTTCTATAAGAAATCTTATACCGTAGGCTTAGTAACTTGGTAAATGCTCTTTGCTGCCAGGGTGTATGAAGCCTTTGGTCAGACAAATGAACAAGACTGTGGTGGTCAGTCAGGATGATGAATTCCTGTTGCTGCAAATAAGGTCTCCATCTTTCCACAGCTAGTAACACTGTCATGCATTCTTTCTCATAAGTTGATAAGCCTCTAGAGCGTGGACCCAAAGCCTTGCTTAAGTAAGCGATAGGATGATTATCTTCGGAAAGTACTGCTCCAATGCCATAGTCACTAGCATCTGTTTCAACAGTAAAGGGTTTAGAAAAATCTGGTAGAGCCAGAACTGGTGCTGTTACCAAGGCCTGTTTTATCTGTTGGAAGGCCTGCTGAGTTTCTTCAGTCCATTTGTATGGAACTCCCTTCCTTAATAACTGAGTTAAAGGTTTGCACAAGACACCAAAATTCTTCACAAATTTTCTATAGTACCCAGCTAAACCAAGAAAACCCCTAAGTTTCTTGACAGTAGTTGGAACAGCCCAATTAATCACATCTTGTATCTTCTTCGGTTCAGTGGCTACACCATGAACACCAATCACATGTCTCAAATAAGACACTTGCTGTTGTGCGAAAGAACACTTTGAGAGTTTAACTTGCCAATGATCTTGTTTAAGCAGTTGTAAAACTTGTGTGACATGATTAATATGAGAAGTTAAATCTGGACTGTATATAAGTATGTCATCAAAGAATACTAGTGCACACCTTCTCAACACTGGAGCCAGGGTCTTGTTCATGGCAGCTTGAAATGTAGCTGGTGCTCCTGTTAAACCAAAGGACATGACCTTATATTCAAAGTGTCCATAATGGGTTTGAAAGGCAGTCTTATGTTCCTCCCCAGGTGACATTCTAATCTAGTGATATCCTGCCCTCAGATCTAGTTTGGAGAACCACTTGGAGCCGGACAGTTCATCCAGAAGCTCTTCTATGATGGGTACAGGGTACTTACTCTTGATGGTCAATGCATTTAAATGTCTATAGTCTACACACAGTCTCCATGTCCCATCCTTCTTTCTGACTAGGAGAGCAGGTGAAGACCAAGCACTTTGGCTAGGTTGTATTACCCCTGAATCAAGCATTTCAGAAACTTGCTTTTCAATTTCATTTTTCAATTCTGGATTGTACCTATAAGGTCTCAAATTCACTGGTTGTGCCCCTTCAACCAATGGAATCTTATGGTCACAATTCCTTCTGGGCAGCAGACCCTTAGGTTCAGCAAAAACTTCCTGAAACTGTTGAATTACTTGCTGGATAGGAGCTGGGATTTCTGTTTCCCCTTCAGTCACAACCTCATCAATTTTTATCATGTACATAATAGCACCAGACTTTGCCATCCCCACCAACTGTGGTACAGAAATCAAAGAACAAGAAGGATTACTGCTAGAGATACCCTGCAACCTCACAGCTCTATTCTGATATTGAAATTCTATCCACTTCTCAACCCAATCCACTTGCATAGGACTATGTTGCTCAAGCCAGTCCATGCCCAAGATGATATCATAACTTCCCAATGGAATTAATTTGAAATCATTCTTAAAACTTTGGCCCTGCATGTACCAAGTGCATCCTGGAATAATTTTAGAACATAATAGCTGTCCTCCATCAGCTATCTGCACCTTCAGAGGCTGTTTCAATACCTCCACTCCTTTCAATTTCATTGCCACTTGTTCATCAATAAAAGAGTTGGTACTGCCAGAGTCAATCAACATTAACAACTCAGTTTCTTGAATCCATCCTCTCAGCCTAATGGAATGAGCAGCTTCAGTTCCACTAGCAGCATGCTGTGAGATGGCCATGGCTATTAAATCCTCCTTTTCATCCTGTACTTCCACCTGTTCACTGCTGTTACTTTCATCTTGTAGAAGTGACACTAACTCCTGAACCACATGCAATTGCACAGAAGTAGAACATTTATGATCCTTGCTCCATTTTTCTCCACAAGTAAAGCACAGCCCCTTTGACCTTCTATAAGTTCTTAAGGCTGATACCCTATCCTCCCTGATTCTGCTAGGATCCCCATTCTTCTTGTCATCCACCGGAGTGGTCCATGTATCCCTGTTACTGTGGGAGTGCTGAGTGGTTGTTAACTGTTATTGCGAGTTAGTCTTGTGCAGGGACTTAACATAGGTACCACCCTCAGATTTCCTTACCATACCAAACTTCACCCCTTCAATAGCTTCTTCTTGTAATAGTGCTATTGAACTCGCAGCATCCATATCCTGGGGTCTCTGTACAATCACCACTCTTCTCACTTCATCCTTCAGTCCATCTATAAACTTCTGAACAAAATAAACTGGGGGCACAATTTGTTCATAAGCCAAGAGCTGATGCATCAAACAATCAAACTTCTCCACATATTCAGACACTGATCCAGTTTGTCTGATATGGAACCACTGGCGAACCAGGGTCTCCTGCCTATCTTTGGTAAATAGAGCACACACCCTATCACATAGATCGAACCAAGTCACCCCAATCAATTGATTTCTAACAGATTGCAACCAGTATGCTGCATTTCCCACAAAATTCAGTGTCGCAACCTTCACCCACTGCCCAGGAGGAATTCCATACACATCAAAATAAACTTCACAGTTAGCACGCCACATCTGTGGATTCTCCCCACTAAACTGCGGACAAGTCATACTAGGAATACTTCCAGCCACCATTCCCGGTCCCATCATGTTATCAAACTGAGCAGTCGAATTCTCAAACGCAAAAGGCGAACTGGTGTTGAGTGTTAGGTCTCTCTTACCATGAATCAATGAAGGAGACGGTGAGGGTGATGTAGTAAACGGATCCTCCTTCACTTCTCCAATCCCCTTGTCTCCGCGGCTCTGCTTCAACAGAGAACTCTCCATCTGCTCCACCTTCGCACTGAGGTTACCCAGAGATGCATGGAGATCCACCACCTGCTTCTCCACTTGTGGAAGTCTTGCTTCTACCGCCGCCTTGAGGTCCTTCAGATCCAGCCGACTCCGCTCCTCCGCTTCCGCCCTCTTCTTCTCATTCTCCTCCATTGTCTTGAGCAGCAGATCCAATTTCCCTTCCTGCGCCATAATCTGCGCTGCCTGCTTGGTGATATAGCGTGGTTTCTCCAGGATCACAGCTCCCAATCCGCTCCAAATTCAGCCAACCCGGTTGAGGCAAGTTGCCTTTTCGCGGTTTCCACCCAAGGGCGGAATCCAATCCCCAATCAGTAATTCTACGGCCGAATCAAGAGATTAGTGGATCGGAAACGAGCTCTGATACCAGATTGTTAGAACCCTAACTCACAGCAAGCACCAATCAAGAACACACACGAAATTATCTGGAACTTTAGTAACTCTCTCGATCCAACAGGATCGGAGCTTCCGCCGCCATCGCCTCCAAGTTCCAGTTCGATGCCGTTCGAACACGCAACAGTGTCTCATATACCGTTTTCTCTCTCTCCTCACCAACCCCTCTCAGCTGGGCAAGCCCATTACAACTCACGCATTACACGGCCCATTCAGAGCCCACATACTTTCTATTAGCAATACGAACACGCTTTCCTTGTGAGCCAGCGCCTTCCTTCAGTACGCCTCCATCCTGTACACCTTCTAGCTCGTTGTCGATGTTCCCCAGCTCCTGCTTGCCGATGTCCAGCCTCTCCTGAGTCAAGTTATCATCAGTAGACCTGACAGGTTTCCCTCCCGCAATAATTTACTATTTTCCACTCTTAACAGTCGTGCTAAAATTATTTGCCACTGGACCGGCCCACATATCAAATACAGCGAATAGTAAATAATTAATTGTTGCCAAAAAAAATTGTCCCTTCACTCCCTACTCCAGTCCATTTACGTGCTTTCTGTTTAAATGGGCTAAATAACTACTACTACTTCTCAACCGGGCAAGGAATAAGTCCACTTTAAGTTCCTCTCCTTTCTCTTCTTTTTTTTAATGACTTGAAGTTCATATTGATATAGCAGAAAAAAAATTACAAGATTATAGCCCTGAGAGATCCTAACCAGGAAAACAAAAAAAATATACTACCACCCACATACCGATAGCACCAACACATAGACCTAAGAGAAGGGTAGCATCGCTAGGCCAACAATAGAACTATAACCGAGGTCGCCCAAAACCCGACCCTTACAGCCTACACAAAAACCCGCTCTATCCACATCTTTGGAATTGAGGGAGAGAGGGTGAGAGAGAATAATGGAACCGCTCACCCCCTAGGCCCTCCGACGTGGCCACCTTGCAGAAGCTAGGACGCCGACACAAGAGATTAAGAATCTAGAGCGAGCTTGCACCGAATGCTTCGGAGGTTTCGTTAAGGGGGATGACTAGACGTCGTCTACAAGAAGAGAAACGACGAAAGCACCGCCGCAGCCGTCTGTCGAGGTCTCAAAGAGAACCGAGGCTGGGCTTTCGCCCAGTAGACCGGCCTCCTCCTCTGTCGGCCGCACCTCCTCGCGCCACGCCGGCCAGCCTCGTCGTGCCGCACCGGCACACGCCTCGCCAACCTCGCCTGCGCTAGCCTCTACTAGCACAACGCCGGCCTCCGCCTCCGGCGGCCAAGCCTCCTCGCACCGCGGCCGCCTCCGTCGCCGCCGACCTCCACCGTCCCTGGCCGCGCCTCATCAGCCACCTCCGTCGCCGGTCACACCGGCCGGCCAACCGCTGCCGCGCCTCTCTCTGGCTACCCGTTGTCGCCGAAAGACGCCGTCACCGTCGGGAATATGTAGTCGCCGCCGCCACAAGGAATACTCCGCCACTGCCAGATCTAGAGCTCGTTTGCCGCCACCAGTAGCCCTTGCCGTCATGGATGTGGTCTGCGCAAGCCGCCGCCCATGTGTGCCACCATGAAGCTCGCCGTCTTGAGTCGTCCCTCGATCTGCAGCACCAGGAGCGGCGGCGGCAGGAGCAGGGAGTGCGGCGGCGAAGTGGGATCTGGACTGGGGTGGCCAGAGGAAGAGTGAGACTGTGAGGCGAGAGGGAGGAGGGGACGTGGGCAGTCAGATCCACGTCCCCCGAGCACATGGAGGCCGGATCCAGACGTCGGCGGTCGACAGCAGCGACGCGAGGCGGAGGCGGAGGTGGTGCGCTCGGCGACGGCGACGGCATGCCGCGAGGGAAAGGCGCTCGGCAACGGTGGAGGCGGTGGCGGCACGAGAGGGAGAGCGTGATACGAGAGATAGGAGGAGATGTGAGCGGCGGCTAGGGTTTGGAGTGTGAATGGGTTAGTGGGTGTCATTTTGCTAAAAAGCCCCTCGTCTTCCACATTTTAGAGCGCGGTCCTAATTCACGTTTTATCTTGCCATTGCATGAAATATTTGGCTTTATAAAGGGCCTACATGTAAAATAACAGGGAGCAAGGAACTGTTCATGAGGGATCTATATCGAATTATACGAAAACTGGATGACTCTTTTGAAAAATTTTCACTCCGCGCCTCAATCTCAGACATCCATACCTAATCCGGCGGGCGAAAAAAAAAGAGTGACGTGGCCCACGCCTCCATCGCCCCAGTCCGCAGCGCTTTATATTCTCCGATTTCAGCAATACCAATGGAGGAATGGATGGAGAAAGAAGACATGGCAGCAAAGTAATTTTAGTTTGTTTCTCTCTCTAGCTCTAATGAAAATAATATTTTAATGACCTTAGTGTCATACGGTAAATTACCATATTTTTAAAAGGTTATTGGACAAATTTATGTTTTCGAGATTTTTACTAGCAAAAACCACAAAAAAATTTTTGAGTGTTCCATAGCAAATTTTACCTTTTTTTTCTATATGTATATGGGAAGAGGTGTTTGTAGCAAATTTCCTCCTAAATTCGCCACTGCTCCTTGGCCTGATATCACCATCTTGAGCTGCCTCTGCCTGCCCCGTGCGCCTGCGACGCTAGCCCGTCCAGTGTAGTGTGCCGTGTGCTTGCCCACGCACCGTCACTGCTTGCTCACCCGCGCAGTGCAACATTTCCCCCTTTTCATACAGTGCTTCTAAAAGTCACTTCAAACTTCTGTAAATCATAGCATGGCTTGATAAGAGACATGATACAGTGCTCAAGTGGCCTATATGTATTTTCAGAGCTGATCCGAAAAAAAAATATTGGGGAAGGTTAAAAATCCTCCTGTTTGCACACTACATATAATAGCTATTGCTGCCATTAATCCAATAAAAAAAACTATGCCATTAATACAAAAGATACAAAGTTTGTGAGCCAAGTAACCTTATTGGTTATTTGTGTACAATGTCTCACGGCATGGCCTTCGTCTCTTCGATGGAGCTCCTTTTGCCCTAATCTCATCAGGATCGAGGACTCTATTCCAAGCTCAGCACAGCAAGACATTGAGAGAAAGAGACGATGATACAAGCTCAGAAGATCATATTCTTCTGAACAGCGTCACTGAAAGTGTCAAAGCAGATCAAAAAAAGAAGGTCAACACTCAGCTGCTGTTCTTTTCCGTCCAGAAGTTATAAGCTGCATGGATTACATGGCATGATCAAATTTCAGAATAATGCGGAGATTACCGTGAGTTTGATGTAACAGAAGGAAGGTGGAAAAAGGTACTGACAGATGAAGATAGGTCAGATGTCTTCAGTACTCTCAGTCTCTTAACTAAAGAAACAAACATCCTACATGAATTGGAGTATCAGACTATCAGATAGGAGGCATGGTCCAGTTTGATGGTAGAATTCTTTTTTCCCAGTTTGATAATCAATAAAACTGAAAAAAAATTTAAGGCAATAGACTGCATATCATTTTTAAGCATTGCTATTTGCGTAATCAGTATCCTATAAATGTAGTAACTTTGTCTACTACTCTGAAAATAAAAGGTAGAACGGAAAACACACCCCCAACGGCACATCTCCAACAAGCACCCTGTCACCTTCATAATCCTCGTAAACCAAAGTGTACTCCCCAGTTCCATCTAGCAAGCCAGATATTGCCACATCTTCCTGCCGGCAGTCGTTTGCTCCAGCAGCGAGGGGGTCTATTTGGGCTTAAATACAACAATGCAAATTGAACACATCGGATCAGATACTAATCTGATAACTCAGCCATTCAAATATCAAAATACTGAAATTAACGAGGAAATAACTTGCGAACTTTCGAAAGAACAATAAGGAAACAATTTATGCAGTGCCATTGTTCAGTATCAGTGGAAAACTCTGCAGATACTCTATCATAAACTACAGTCGCAATTGAATGATTTGATTTTGTTACAGAACAACAGAGTTGAGGTTCATATACCTGCAAGAAGGCCTCAGAATACCTTGTCAACCGCTAAAGAACCTTTCAATCAGTTTAGCAAATACTAGTGTCGGTGACATGGGATCAGGAGTATCATGACTAGAGGTTTGAGGCAGACACAATCGCACACGTGGCCTGGTACCCCCGAGGGACGTCGGGCCCGAGGGTGATGCGTTCGCCCTCCTCTTAGTCCCCCCGAGGGGGTCGGGCCGCACCCCCCTCGGCCCCGAGGGCCGAGGCGCCCCGACCCCTCGTGGGTTTTTGCTCCGCGTGTATGGGTTAGGTGAGCACAGTGGGGCTCACCTAACCACATTTATTGCGGTTTGGCTGAGCGTGTCACGCCGCATGTAACGCAGTGCAGTGCACTCGTTTATCCGGTCTGTGACCAGTCACAGACCGGTCAGATCGCGGGTTAGGTGGCGACAAGCGATCTGACGCACGCCTCGCCCCATCCCGTCAGGACGAGGGCTTCTAGGCGCTCGTCCCCAGCTGGAGCTAGCGTGTTACCTCCCAGAGATGGCACGTTAGTCCTGGTCAGATATATGCCAGGCTTCATCCTAACCATTACAGGCAAGATGTTGTGTGAAGAAGGGCGAGCATGTAGGTTGCTAAGCTGACACGTGGTGGACAAGAATGACCGACGTGACTGGTCTGATACCGGTCATGTCGTCAGCAGACAGCCACGATTCCACGTCGCGCCTGCTTCCGGCGGAAGTGGAGGTAGGTATGGGCCGTCCCATCAGAAGGTCATTCGGACGGCAACCATACAAGTCTCCGTCTGTTTATGAAAAGGTGGGGTAAGTCCCCACAAAAAAGAGAGAAATGGTGCATGTGGTATCCCCTTAAGATATAAAAGGAGGACC